TATGCATATATATAACCTACCTCAGTTTACTTGCAGTTGAGAATGAAGAACAAGCTCTTTCGCGCAGTCACACTGGTGGCAAAAGCAGAACGACCTGCAAATCATATCGGTTAGGAACTGCTGTCCATGTGTTCCGGCTAACTCTCTAGAAATGACCCTATGGTTTTCCTCGACCTTTCGATGACTACCTCATTGTTACTCGGCGTTAAAGTGGGTTGATAGAATAGGGTTCAGCCTGAGTTCTTAAGGAAAAATAATAAAAAGTGCTATCAGGATGTTTAAACATATTTGTGTAAAGGAGTTTCTGAAAGACCTATTCTACTTGTGATCATTTTAATAAATTACCAGTCATGAATCCCGCATCCTTGAGTGCTGGTATGCTTTGCTTATTGACCTATCATTGTAATTTTCTAGAAAATACCGTTTAGACCTCCACAGGGCTCATCCGGATATATCAACATGATTTGCATTCCGTCAACTCATGTGTTCTTTCTCAGTTCGTAAGTGATCAGTAATGCAGCCCAACGCCAATATCCTGTACGTGGAATGCATGTGATTCAATGGAACCACTTGGCTTTTAGCCAACAAAAATCCGAACACCGACTGAAGGCTACCAAGTCCGATGCAGTCCTTTTTCCTTTTCCAAATGCAAACAAACGAACACGTGACAACTTGGATAAACGTGAACAATTTCCGAAGTCCGAAACGATACACTGATTCACAGGTGTGCCACAATGTGGGCGAATTAACAAGTGCCGAGACTTGCTCCGAAAAGTGCATTAAATCTCTCGCTTTACTGTTGTATTACCTGGACATTTGGGCCAAAGTGGACGTTACCTTGTAAATTTGCGGTGAAGTCAACGGGGTGCGGAATGCAACTAAAGCACAGTAACAACCTGTTTTAAGTGTTTTAAGTTTGATCATCGGGCAATACGGTAGAACTTCGAGAAAGACCGAGATATTCTGGCGAAGGGTTAATATGTTGCTACTTCTAAGAACTCTAGTTGAAGGGAAAGTACTGATTATATTAATCAGTACTTTCCCTTGATATTCCCATGATTTTTTCAGATAACTGACACTTAAATCATTGGTAAGACACAGACAAGCTGTTTTCGTTTACTGGGAGTTCCAGAAGACCTGTACCGAGGTGCATATATCTGCGGCCGCCTTAAGAAGAACAAATTCCTCTGAAGTGGAAGGGGAAAATCGGCTTATTTGCGCCCGGTTTTGTCATACGGTTTGTTTATCATCTTTCCAGGGAAAGTTGGGAGGCCACTTTCCACAGGTTACCTCAGGATGGCCATGATGAGGGTGTACCCGCTGCATTCCATAGAAACTTCAGGTTGCCAGGGAAATTCTAGAGATGCACCCTCGAGTGGCCAGTAGGATGTTACTTATGTCATATGCCCTTCTTGAACTTTTCTCAAAAAGTGAATTAAAGATAACAACACCCCAGGGCGCGAATGACGGTCAGTGGGCACACCCTGGTAACCGACACAAGAGACACCCCAGCTTCACAAAGTTTGGAGCGCTTGCACTCAGTTGAAGAGGTGTAAATCCCGGACCACCACGTTTCTCAACCACAAGAGAGCAAACGAGTCATGCTGTTGGACTACTTGTCAGAGACGGACACCTCGAGCTGGATTTAACAACGTCAATTGACAGCTGTTGTCTCCAACAAGTCTGCTTCTCTTTGTGTATACATTAAGCCCTTGAAATCTAGTCCGGTTTATAACTGCATTTAGTTAGGGATGATGCATCTAAAAAGTTAGATGTACCGACAGAATGTAGCCACAATTACCCACGATTGCCCACGGCTCCAGCGGACGTCATCGTTACAGTCATCTCCGAAGACCTACTGGTACACGCGAAAATCTTCTTAGAACACTAGTCTACACCACGCAACTGTAGAGACACTGAATAGGTTGTCCAGCTCTCCAAATTGATGTTACAAACATGTCCCGAAATCCCATGAGAATTTCGTAAAAATATCATGAAAATTTTAAGCATATTTGCCATGATTTCTATGAATAGGGAGACTTGTGGTGAATTCGCTGTCTTATCGAGATATCTGACAATTTTTTCGTATGTTCACTTTCGAGCAAAAAAAGACGATGAGTCGAACAAAGCACTCAACTTCAAAACGATTCTGATATGTGTCCAGCTCAATCAAGTAATCTCAATCCTCGTGCAACACCAGGCAATTAGTCAACCACTATCAGAATAACAGGCTAGCGGAGTCGACAGCCAGCAATGTTCTTACCCGCGGAATATTCTCATCTGAATGGTAACTTAAAAATAAACAAATCGCTCGTCCTAGGTTAGATCACTACTGCCACCTAACCCCAGAAACCTCTTTTCATTTACAAAACTGCATCTCGTACTACATACTCGACCTTTTGTGTATTCAAAAAATTAGGACGAAAGGTGATAAGTAACTGAGCGTTTTCGGTGTGTAAGATCCATAATTTTACCCGCCGGTGAGATTTTGTCTCGAGAAGGATGTCAACGTAAATTCTACAGATCCCGCAACAAACCACAAATAACCAGCTATTCAACCAGATAGAGCACCTAAAACATCCACATCATCTCACAGTGTTGCTGAAAAATCTTTGACAGCCCATGACTGGTTTCGCCCTTCTTGGGGCTCATCAGGTAGGCGCAGTCCCCGAGTTTCCGTCAACCTTACGTTCTACTTGAACCCAAATGGGACTCTTGTCGAGAAATGCACTCATTTGCAAATCAATTTGGATTTCACGAGAGACTCAACTGAATCTCTCGTTTATGCTATTCTACAACTGAATGTGCTGCACACAGGCCACAGCACCTGTCTCCACTTCTGCTAACTTAACTCCGTCCACCCATATGTCCACATGACTGTTCCCCTCGAGGCTTGCTATTGGTCGACCATTTCCAAGAACCGATTCCTCTCGATAATTTGAGCCTTCGCTTGGATTTTTGTCAAGAAAATAACACTTTGAAGAGTGGACCAGCTTTCTTCAATTTCTTCAAACCTACGTGGTCAACGAAGTAGATGTACATACATTTGTTCACGGTGGATTCTGGCAAGTAGTTTGAATTTTTCATCATGAGGTCACAATCAGAACGAGCAAACCCTCAAATACTTACTCTATTTTTTTAATCGTGTGATTATGCATAATCGCTTTTGCACTCTCCTAAAATCTAGTCGTTTTCAAAGGATAGAAACGTTTCCATTCAAGTGAATTTTTTGGGAGTTTTAGCTTATTTTATGCTCTGGCATTTTTCCTGTTTTCACATGTCACAAAATCCGTAGAAAACAAACACAAGGCTAAAGTATCAGTGTTCGACTGGGAGTTCATGGAGAGTTGCGAGTCAAGAATGATACATTTTTGGATAAATATGTATATTTTTTTCCTTTCAAGCTCCAGGTTAGAACTCATTAAATGTATACCTAAAAAACTATTCCGTTATCCCAGTGTTTTTGGATCCACAGAATTTTGTACATAAATTCCACTTAACTCAAAGGCCTTTGGAATGCCCGGTTGGTCTGTCCTGCCTCTGGAGTATTCAGGAATTTCAGATGCTCAGCTTGGTCTATTTATTTGCCGAATCATCTAGTTCGCAAATTAAAGTGTGAAATTCATTCTTGAAAAAACAGTAAGGTGGCGTTAATTTGTCACTGAAAAAGATGCTATGTTTGAAATTAAAGATTTTTTCGAATGATGTTTGTGAGTTTCACAGGTGACGAGAAACCGGGACCACAAACCGTTGAGGGAAACAAGGATGTTTGTGACGTACCAATTGAAACAAACGCAGATGAAGTTTGTTCCAATTCTCGGATTTTTCCATGTCGCTGTTTTGTAATGCATTTATTTCCAGACGGGGATCACAAACACAGATCTTTTTAATCTTTACCACGCACGGGTTGCAGCTTCACATAGTGGATTAGGTTTGCTTTGTACACTTAACTTCATTGCGGATGGGAGTCGCCATCGAGACTTATGTATTCCTAACCGGACTATTCGGCTCCTAAATGTAATGACAATGAGTTTTCGAGATTTCCCTTTTTGTGCTGCATCAGACAGCAAAGCTTACAATTCACATAACAATGAAAAAACGGAAAGATAATTAATAGTTAGAATGAAAATAGACGTAGATTTCATCACGCAAGTTCTTCACGTGTTAGGACATAAAACAATTAGTTTTCGAAATTGGGCAAACTTAAGTAAAACTTCCTGAAGCAGCCTGTGATAAAAACATGGAGCTCGACATTTGGTGCCGTCAGTCTCCCATTCATAACTAATCTGTGTTTGGGGACTTTCACTTTGTTCAACTTTTCCGCTAGTTAACCTACGCAGGCTACACGTGGAATTTGTGGCTACGTGTTGTCGGAATATATGGGTAAATTTGTAGGTGGCTGCTGCAAATACACGTGACTGAATCGTGTTTATCGTTTTAAACCAGCATGCCCACGCTGGTCCGAAACTGCACGCACACCATCTTTTTACATGGCTCAAACAGGTGCGGGGTTGAACGACACCTTGCACATAAATTGGTACATACACATAGACCACCGCATACTGCGCAGAATCTTCGCATCGATTATTTTATATAGTTTTCTTGGCCGAGCGAATGACTAACCTCATCAAGCAAGCGAACAGAATCTACCTGGCGCTCACACGACCGGCTTGCCCTGTCGTTTTGACCAAATCAGGCGCGTACAAAGCGATTGCTACTACTGTCAGACGCACTCTCCACCAAAACGGTATTCGCACGCACTACCCACACGCAAACACACTAACACGTGTACACGCGTACCGGCCCGGCGTGCGTTCGTTTCGATTTGGTAACGTTGGCCAATCTCCTGATGACCGTGTGTGTATGTACGCACATTAGTTCACGTGTGCGGCGTTGGTGCCCCTGGCTGCGACATGTCCTAGATCTTATGTCCGTCACGCGCTTCTCGCTTAGTGGTTTGAGCGCACGCGCAAGCAACAGCTGTGCGTCACAGCGACGCCAGTCCTCCTCGTGTCGGTCCATCGGAGGGTTGAATGCACCCTTTCTGTGACCTTACTGTATCGACTCAACGCCCAACCAACTCTGTTCAGACCATGCAAATTCTATCAGGCTAAAGTGGATTGTTTACCAGTCACTGCATCATTTCATCCTCTAGGACCGTGCTGGAGTTCGAACAAACCAGGAGACATCAAATATCCAAGGTCAGATTGTCACACTTCTAACATGGATCAAGGGGATAACAAAACGGAAGGCCCTCCATTGACACCCGTACAACCGAGGAGGTTACTATCATGCTCCTCAGTGATGCCAGGCTCAATGGCGGAAAATCAAGGAATTGGGCCACAAACAAGTGGGACCAGTCCTTTCCAGCTATCCCGACAAATTTTGCACACTTTCGCAGCCTATCAAATGAGCGAAGGCCCACGCTCAAACGAAGAAACATATGACACTAGACCATTTCGTTCTGAACCTTCTGCATCCGATATCCAGGCTCTAACTCAACATTTACTTGCCTTGACAAATTCCAGTACATCTCCCGATGTATTTGCCGGTTCACTTCTCCATATTCATTCCGATGAAGCGGACAAATGGAAGAGGCACAGCGGTCGGAGTTTGAATGCCTCGCCAACTCATCACACGTGTGATCACACAAATGATGGAACCAGCTCTGTCAGTATGTCTCCCAATGCGCTGTGCAGTGCTGAAGGTGTGAACGCTTTGAATCGACTAGCCTCATTATCAAAGGCCTGGTCGTCAACCTCCCCTTCAGCTATGGCAGCTCTAGCACAACTAACCTTACTCGGTTTATCACCATCAGTAACACCAACCCGTGAGAGCTCGGTTACAAACATGCCTTTACCCGGTGATTCTAATGGAACGCAGAGTGCATTTAGTCCGAAAACTTCCAAAAACTTGGACTTTGATCCATCAACGCCAAACGGCTGCAGCTCGAAAAACTCACATATCGTCGATCAGTCTTCAAATCACTCACCTCCGTAAGTCCTTTGATCTTCAGGAAGCACGTATTCTACATGTATTATTCATAGGATTCGTTTCGGTGAAACGGACTGGTTCCTAGAAATGTTCATTTTATCACTGGGGTGAATTTACTGGTCAAACTTTCGTCAAACTTTCCAAAGTCCTACACGCGCCTCAGTCTTCATTATATAACTTGGAGGCTTGTCGATCTTTTGGGTCGTGTTAGGCTCTACCTCTCTGAGTGGCATATTGGACGTACAAACCCAAAGGAAATATTCTTGGAAACCTGACTGATATCGTAGCATCGTATCATCAGCCATTATAGGGAATCCTAGATGTCCATTATCTTTGTGCTAACATTAACCTTTATTGAAAAAATGCAGCATAAGGCAATTTTACCGAATACATGCTCCATGTGCTTCGGAAATTACGAATTAAAGGGCTGTTTGTGGCACACCTAATAAAAACAAGCCCGGAGCTAGAAAAAAACCATTTCACATGTTGCGCGCGATACAGTCAACTCTGTCTGTCGTTTTTCAAATATAAAGAATAATAGGATACGAAATCTATTTTTTTTTCAGTCGCTCGAAGGCACCCCCTTCACAGAGTCCATAAAGTCTGGTTTTACAACTACACCGGTAATGTTTGATCTGTGCAAACTACAACCATCCTTAGATCCCAGCCAAGTTGGTTGGGACTGACTGTCTGTAAAGGGTAACTCAGTCAAAATGAGTTGCTTGTTAGAGTGTTCAAAAATGCGACACTGGCTTTGAGTAGTGAAAATGCTTATATGCTTCAAACAGTAGTTGAAAACCCGTAGACTATCCAGTCTACTTCGATTACTGGCTAGGCTTCAATGTGCGTGATATTTGTTTATTGTGTTTCGCATGTGGAAAGTTTGCAGCACTGCATCGTTCCCGCTTATCCTCATCTCAGTTGCTGATTATCTGAAGTCTATTTTTGTCAAAATTCAACTCTGGATTTGCGCCCCTATTTACCAGCATAGTTTTAACATTCGAATTTGGCATCCCAGAATTGGGCTTGGCATGTTTGATTCGCAAGAGTATGGAAGTAGTCTCGCTGGGCCTCCCATCTTAGTAAAATATTTTGTGGTATGTAAAAAATTGTTCCGTTGAGGACTTATGTGTTGTGCTAGTGAGAGTTATCTCAGAGCTCAGGTAATTAGATTAGTCTTCAGATATGTTACCCTGAACTGTTGACTAATAACGACCGCTCGAGTATGTACCTTATAGGGTTGCAACGCATCTTAAGGCGGGACCAACTGACGAGACAGTGTTATGCAGCAAATTACACTCTTCGGCAGTACCAACACCAAACAGAACTTAGTACCACCGTCCCCATTCGCCAATCCCTAAAGGCAGGGACATCATTTAATATGGTTCTGTTGCGTAGTTCACATGTCTTGAAGTGGCACACTTCCGGGGGACCAAGACAGTTTATCGTGATAGTACCTGTGGGTCTAGCAGGATAAATTCCTGGGATAAGACGGTCCCAGCAGGGCATGTGACGAAAGACCGATAAGACTATTACGGTCCTGCTTAGAAGTTTGAGTGGCTGTGCCGAGTACCTCTGGGGAAACTAGTTTGTACCTAGATTCCTGAGTTTAGAATGATGCACTAATAGAATCGTCGTTTGCTTTCAATTGTTCATCAGTGTGGTGAGTACGTGCTGTTTGAAGAAGTTGAAACATTTCAGTGAATCGAAAGATGGCTATGCTCACCAAATCCGATTTTTAAGAACTGATAGGTTAAATCACTTCCAACCTCAAATTCATGTATGTGAAGATAGGTGGTTTCGGTCGTTTTTCACTCGTATATCCGTGACGAGGTTACTGTTGTTGTTGATGATCCCTTAGAAGTGGACGTCGACCAATTTTTCGGCTCAGAAGGTTTCGATTCCAATGATTAGTTTAACAGTGGATGTTCTCGTGAGTGATGTTCCCCCGTCGTTCTTACTAATTCATTAAAAATACACTCCATCGCCCCAAATATTTTGTACAAGAAGGATTTTACATTAACGGTTTTCTAGCATGCGTCTTTCAGATACTGGACCTATGCTGACTTGACTGATTGTATGCGAATTTCCTGAAAATGACAGGTACTCTCGTTTCTCATGTCAAAATAGGAACTGCTTGATAGACTATGTACTTTGTAGACCAGCAAATATTAACGCATCAGGTTCTGACCTTCCTACCGGCTATGTATCAATGATTAAGTCTGGGGCAGAAATGACAAATGCCTAAATTACTATTTTCTGTATGTTACAAAGTATCGAAGTTAAGTTCTCTCCTTCATATGAGCTAAACCCAATCCCGACCTCATTTAGAACTGGCTACCCGTTACAGCGAACAACGTTTGTGCCACAAGACTGACTTGTGTCAAGCCCAGGATTTATCCCATTCGAAATCCGGCCGATTTCGCTCAATGCTCCTGGGCATAGAACATTTCTATCACTTTATGGCAGTCGTGTAATCGGACGCGTTCATCTTATCGGATCTACTCTGGTGATCTTTTATCCATCGATCTTTCTTCGGGAGGATTATCTCTTCAAAGTAAGGCCACGAAACATGGCTTCAAGTTAGCAGAATCTCGACAGCTAGTCGGCGTTTTGTTTCCTTGGTCTCTCCTATTTAGGCTGAGGGATATACCCAGGCATACATCTTTCGGTCATTAGATATAAGTTTCTACTCGTTGGAACTTCCAGGTTCCGGTGTTCTGTTTTTCCTTGATTGGTCCAATAATTCTTGACTCTACCATCCAGTCTACTTCATTCACATCTTTATTGTGCGCCGAAAAAATATTGCCCGCTTTCTTTATTCGTGTTAAAAATTAATGTCACACAATAGTGAGAAATCTATCATTGAACTGACGTGTGATAACCTATGATCCGGCAATATTAGAAGAGTAATACGCTTCAAGAAGCACGCTTCAAGGTTTCGCATAATCCACATTACAGTGAAGGTTGACATTGCGCGTACAACAGAAACTCCATTTTTCGACGGAACGAGCGTTTATTGGATTTTGGAGATCCTCTTACTGAAAATCTGCAAGTTAAATATGCATACTGGAAGGAGTGACGTCAGAACCAAATGCAGAATGTTTCATTATTCGGGGACTTCATGTCAGGCTAGGAGAGCGGTATGCAGCATGACCTCATATCGATAGGCCTGTTTGTATTACCAGTTCGTGTTTCAGTTTTTATGGAAATGAAATAATTATGCTTGCTTGGGATGCCAAGTTTTGTGGGCTTTCGCCTTCCTGTCCTATGTTGACATTCGATCCTGTATGTTAATGGTGTGACCAGTGTCATCAGACTGATCATGATCTCTAATATAATTGTTCTCTACCACGTCGCAGTGTAAACCAGCGAACACACAATCTTGCTTGTTTAATAATCCTATCCACAGCATAGCGCGCGTGCAGTGAGGATAACAGACTAACAGACTAAGCCTGGTTCCTTTATCCATGTTCTTTAGAATGACAAGAATTGTTCAACTTAGTGCACCCTTTTGTTGACCCGTCATCTCGTCCCAACCAAAGGCGATGGCGCCCGGAAATGGTTCACTTCTGATTGCTACGGAAGGTCGGTCACGAATCCAACTTCTGATCAAAGGTCAACTATTGTGTGTTGATGAGCTCTTAGTGTAAACACACTATGCAGAGATGTAAGCCATGATATAAGCTATCAGCTGTCCACAGTGACAAAACAGCTGACACAATGGCCTGGTTACCACATCAGGCTCACTTGATGGTTAACCCTCGATTCCAGCGGGACCGTTTCGGCCACAACATAATATCATTTGATGCTTGTCCAGCTTGTGCTGATGACCGGCAGTTTAGGTTGCAAAAATGATGCGAGCAATTAATTCAACAAGTTTACTCAATCTTATTCTGAAGGTGAGTTCAAACGTTTCCTCAATTCTTATTCATCTAATTATAAAATATAGGTAAGCGAAATTCGCTCGAGAACGATGAAACATTTTCCCCGACTGCCAGTTTCAATTCATCATAGGACAACTGGATTTGGAGTTTACTCGGGTCAGCTCCAAAATCTTCCCCCAGTATTCAGCTTCCCTTGAAAATAAATTGTTATACTATGATAACGGTGCTTGTATGATAAGCCTGCAGATGCAATGATGATGGAATCCCCCTTGGGCACTGTTTTACGTTGATTTCTATCCGGAACGTGCTTTGTGTGAAAACGGGTCTACGGTACTGGTCTAGATTTTTATAAGGTTAACTGTGACTCGAACTTCAAGACATTATGTGATCAGTTTTTCCTACACAAAAAACCGCGGTTTAAACAAGCTACACCCCACCATCATGTTCGGACATTTCTACTGATAATAATGCCATTCGCTAACTGATCAAGTTACAGATGTTCTCAACGTTGTCTTAGGTCCTGAGACGTTAAAATACCAAAAACACCGACATCTCACCAGAGTGTTGTACAGAATGCCAGGAATTCTTGCAAGCCGATGGGATGTAATGTTGCTCTTTGGTTACCACTGATCGTACTGACCACACTTGTTCAGATTTGTCTGTACCGGCAACTTGTCTGAATGGGCTATGCAGACGATATTATTATTATTTTTGTAAACCGAAGTGTGGGGGCGAGAAGGCTCAAGTGGTTAGAGCGCGAATTTACGGATCGGAAGGTCCATGGTTTGAACCCGACTTCTGCCTCTCGACTTTCCCTGTCTAGACTTGGGCAACCTGCCAGTATCCCAGCCATCATTCTTCCTTCGGGTGACATGGCAGCTGGGCACCGAAATGGTTTTACGGCTGGAAGAGATAGTATTACCTCTGATCAGCATAATTTGAGTTTCCTTATCGAAAAAGTAGCTACCCGAAACGCTAAATGTTCACAGACCTTGCTACTTTGATAGCAGCAACAACGAGGTCCGCGTACGTTGCACTGTCTCATGAGTGGAAGTTGAACCTTCCTACTTATAGGAGCAGAGACTGCGTCAATCAGGTAACTAACTTCATTCGTCAGTACCCCGAATTTCGACAAACATCTCTTCTTTATATCTTCCTTACTGTGTCCTAATGTTTTGTACAACGTGACTGAACATGCCAACTGGCTTTACGCTAAAGTCCCTTGCCCGGTTCATTCTGATAACAAGCACTCTGCTGAAAATTTATTGGAGTACAGCACAAAATTGTGGAGCAGCCTAGTTCCTTCTTATTAAATTCCTTCGACACGTGGACCAATAGTTTTCTTCGATAGATACCTAAACGATCGACAAATGCACTAAACTGAACTAACTGACTAAGACCAGCCATTCCGAAAGAATGGCCTAAATAAAGGAGATAAACACCGCCCAGATCCTAAAGGACCATCCTCCTCCTCCTCCTCCTCCTCCTCCTCATCATCATCATCATCATCATCATCATCATCATCATCATCATCATCATCATCATCATCGTCATCATCATCATCATCAGCAGCATCATCATCATCATCATCTTCATCAGCATCATTGACAACATGACATCAGTGTTCAACACCGATTCATCCTAAAGGAACACCATGAACTTGACTGCTACCTCTCGTCTTGAATAATTAAACCCGCCATAGTTCGTTGATGAAGGCATGATGGATAAGTTAAGCCGAAAAAACAGAGAAATTGAGAAAATGTTACATGACATATCATTCCGTGAAACTTTATGAACCTTGGGAAGATATGGCTTCTGATTATTTCGGCTATAGTGTTTTCAATGTTGTACCTTCTCCAACTATTCACGATTATTTCAGTCGCAATTATTACTTCAGGCTGGAAGTCGTATACCGATTCTGTTTACCGAAATTCGCCAATTCACCTTGCAACCATTAAAAATAATCGTTTAAAAGACACTGACGGTCTCAGTTGAACTCAACCCATAAGGACGCAAATTTTGCCGCTGGCATGCACGCTGCTTCGCATGATAGCCATATTCAAACCAGGTGAAAATATATCTTTGACGATTTTGTTCCACATTGATGTGTTTAAGATCAACCCACTGAGAACCTTATTGAACAATCGTTTGGAGATATTGGTAATCACCCGTTGCCTCGTACAATCCGAAAAAAGAATGTAAGTTACCGCAAACAGGCCACCCTTGAGTTCTTCAGTGATGAGCGGTTGGAAACACCCAAAAGGCTTCCCAAAGCCAGATGTGATGACTTCATAGGACAGCCCGCAACAAGCGTCCGTGGTTAGCGTTTTAAAGAGCTCTACGATGTCCACGACTATATTCACCATCAATACAAGAATGCCTACTGAATTAAGCACCACATATGCAACATAACTGCGCACCTTTTGTGCAATCTGTGCAATTGCCCTTAAACTTCTCTGTGACACTAGAGACACCGTAGATCAACAAGATACCCATACCACGAAAGATGACCGTTGATTCTCACGGATCTTATTATTACACTTCATCACACCTTCCTTTCCGCGATGCCTTTGATTAGAAAAACCGCTTTTTCAGGATGTTTAAGTTACCTGTTGTGACGGGCACTCTATTCAAACTCGTCTACATGGCAAACCCCCCATTCTTTCCAAAACAGTCTGTCCGCCAGGTGATGCGCTTTGAAACTCTGGGTGCATATCATCTGTAAGGAGCGTCAATCATCCGTTACCCAATATTCTGGATTAGATGCGTGGGTCAGCTTGTTAGAGAACCATTCAACCATCTTGATGTATCATTGCTACTGACTTGAACCAATAATTAGCCAACAGGATTTCGCAGGTTTATTGAAAGTTCACAGAGTACTGGGTCTTCTTATATATTTGCTGAACTCACACAACCCTAATGTATTGTAGCCCTGGTCACTCAGACTGGCGTGCGATTTTCTTGTTTGACAGCATTGTTGTGAAATATATGCGCTTCATAGTCTTACCTCCAGAAGAGAGGAATCGAGGGTTGACTCCTTTTTTATGAAGTTCCACATTATCAGTTAACTGAGACAAGGTTTTCAGTCCTGAATATTTTCACCTAATCGAAATCCAGATGGATTTCATTCGAAAAGCATTGTTTCACATTGTTTCCGCATCACCGATTTTCCAGGAATGGTTCATGCAGTACCTACTTCCAGCAGGCGCTGAGGATGGCTGTTGCCACCTAGAAAGCAAATGCATCATCACGGTTCAAAAATAACGGAATGCATGTGGTGTTTAAAAAGGAAACTTATTAAGCTAAATTTTAGGCAACTCAGGTGTTTGTCGCTCTTGTCCCTAATGCGAGCCTCTGTTTGACTTGAGCGTATAGAAACCTCCCAGTTGAACAGTTGATAATATGGCAGAAGTGTGAAGCCTTTGAAGATTGCACTTCGGTAACCATGTATTCCGTCCGATGGATTAGTTGAGCGCATCGACTGCATGATAAATGGTTGTTTTTGGAGCTTTCATGTAGCAGCTGTAACATTCTTTATTAGTTGTATTTAGCTTGACCGAAACATTTCATGCTCTGATCTGTGTCACTCTGGGTTCGGATAGTGCTTACTTTCCAGTTGTCCGATTTGTGAACGGATTGGCCCTGTTCCTATTGCAAACTCGTTCTTGCAGTGACCAAAAACAGTTTCAGACTGGGACACACAGTAACCCTCCTGTCAAACGTTAGCAGAAGGACGATTTTTTACGTTGGATTCCCCTTCACGTTTTACTGTGACTTGTCTACTGAAAACTTACAAAATTTCTCTGTGACACTAGAGACACCGTAGATCAACAAGATACCCATACCACGAAAGATGACCGTTGATTCTCACGGATCTTATTATTACACTTCATCACACCTTCCTTTCCGCGATGCCTTTGATTAGAAAAACCGCTTTTTCAGGATGTTTAAGTTACCTGTTGTGACGGGCACTCTATTCAAACTCGTCTACATGGCAAACCCCCCATTCTTTCCAAAACAGTCTGTCCGCCAGGTGATGCGCTTTGAAACTCTGGGTGCATATCATCTGTAAGGAGCGTCAATCATCCGTTACCCAATATTCTGGATTAGATGCGTGGGTCAGCTTGTTAGAGAACCATTCAACCATCTTGATGTATCATTGCTACTGACTTGAACCAATAATTAGCTAACAGGATTTCGCAGGTTTATTGAAAGTTCACAGAGTACTGGGTCTTCTTATATATTTGCTGAACTCACACAACCCTAATGTATTGTAGCCCTGGTCACTCAGACTGGCGTGCGATTTTCTTGTTTGACAGCATTGTTGTGAAATATATGCGCTTCATAGTCTTACCTCCAGAAGAGAGGAATCGAGGGTTGACTCCTTTTTTATGAAGTTCCACATTATCAGTTAACTGAGACAAGGTTTTCAGTCCTGAATATTTTCACCTAATCGAAATCCAGATGGATTTCATTCGAAAAGCATTGTTTCACATTGTTTCCGCATCACCGATTTTCCAGGAATGGTTCATGCAGTACCTACTTCCAGCAGGCGCTGAGGATGGCTGTTGCCACCTAGAAAGCAAATGCATCATCACGGTTCAAAAATAACGGAATGCATGTGGTGTTTAAAAAGGAAACTTATTAAGCTAAATTTTAGGCAACTCAGGTGTTTGTCGCTCTTGTCCCTAATGCGAGCCTCTGTTTGACTTGAGCGTATAGAAACCTCCCAGTTGAACAGTTGATAATATGGCAGAAGTGTGAAGCCTTTGAAGATTGCACTTCGGTAACCATGTATTCCGTCCGATGGATTAGTTGAGCGCATCGACTGCATGATAAATGGTTGTTTTTGGAGCTTTCATGTAGCAGCTGTAACATTCTTTATTAGTTGTATTTAGCTTGACCGAAACATTTCATGCTCTGATCTGTGTCACTCTGGGTTCGGATAGTGCTTACTTTCCAGTTGTCCGATTTGTGAACGGATTGGCCCTGTTCCTATTGCAAACTCGTTCTTGCAGTGACCAAAAACAGTTTCAGACTGGGACACACAGTAACCCTCCTGTCAAACGTTAGCAGAAGGACGATTTTTTACGTTGGATTCCCCTTCACGTTTTACTGTGACTTGTCTACTGAAAACTTACAAAATCACCATTTTCTGGTGGCTTGTTTGACGGATGCTTGGTTGTTTTAAGCGGTAATGTCACGATGATTAATTACTGTGCCCGGCTTAATAAGCTTTTGCGAATGGTGATCGTGATAGAGCAACTTAATATGATCGTCTACCGACATGTTTAACAAAGTGAGAAACCAAAACTGTAGCTGCAAATGTGATACACTTTAACTTAAGTTAGGTGCAGATGATGGCACCACATCAGATGCTTTCGTTTGACCTCCGAACCCAGTAACAATCGATACGTCGATATGGTCGATGGCTAGCACAGAAAAGGATGCACCTCAGTTGAACGTTGACCTTTTGTGCTCCAAACACTATGACAGCAGTTACTTTAGACAACGCCAATTTAAATTCAATTGTGCGTTTGACCTCCTCTACTCCCTTTTATCAGATAGGCTTTGCAGAATAAGTAACCACGATTCACTCACATTTATGGATTGACTTTTGCTAACACAAAGCCAGCTTGTGCCGGAAAGCCAGCTACCATCTTACTGCCGCTGAGTACTTGTTGGGATTCATTGTCTTCGGGGACCTCAGAACAATGCACGACATCTGAAAACTAGAGGTCAATTTGTTGTTAGAACCCTGACTAAATGGCGATTTACTCAAAAGGTATGTACTACTTCTCCCTGTGTGTTGTGCATTTAACTATCTTCAGCATGTTTTGTTTCTTACCGTCGTCATTATGCACAGAAGAATGGTTGAAAGCGATGTCCAGATTGATTACAATTGCACTGAGTCTCCGTCTAGGATCATTTTGTCGAACACTAATTCAAACAGTATATTGATTAATTCCCACTCTGGAAAGTCTAGTTGTGGGAGAAAACTATCTAAATTCACATAAACAACTTTAAGCCTTCGATCACGGTTTCCGGATCAGATTTTCAGTTGTTCGAAGCATTCCCAATGATGCACGCGTACATTGGGTGTGCAAACACACACGGAAAAACACGCTGATCTGCTATAACTCGACCAACACGTATACCTTTTCCAGTAACCACGCTCCTATCGCCCATCGAGACTTACGTTGTTGTGTTGCGCTACCCAGGGGCATATGTCGTCCATAAACTCTTTGGGATCGATACGTGTGTGCCCACAAACATACAACGAATAGACATGCGTGGATTTTTGTTCTTTTGGCACATGTTTTTGACAGGCGCCGCTTACCCGACGGACCAAAATTTTGAAATACACCTTTTCGTAATCCTTTTCATCCTCTTCTTCATCTTCTTCTCTCCAAATTGGTGTAAGTTTGAAGTTAGTAGTTACACGAGCAGGCAAGTGAACGTACAAAACAGAGGGTCAGACAGCGTGCACGCTAGCCGGGTGAAAGAAAGACCTTGTTCTAGAGATAGTTCAAACTGTCCCGGATTTTGGAAATGATTTTAGGTGGTCCATGCGAATGGCCTAAGTGATGTCATATATTTTTCCAGACAAACTCCCGCCCTTTTGCACAGTACCAGGGAACTGCAGCCAGTTAAAGAGTGTATGCTGTTTTTTTCTAATGTGGATACATGTCGCTTTCATTGATTCCAGATTAACAAGGGAAACTATTAGAGTACCTTCCTTGTACGGAATCACCCCAAAAAGGGTTATTTTTTCACCACAAATCTCTTTAGGAGCACACCCAAAGTCACATAATCAGCATGCTTAGGCCATCCAGAAGATTATTTTCTACACTTCAAAGGAAAATATCAGTACCTCACAAGAGTATAACCTTGACGGTGCCCATTTTACTTACAATGTTCGAACCTTAATCCATAACATGACGTGTTTAGAGGTAATATATACATATAGGGATATTAATCACAGATACACAGAAACTTATTTTTACGGCAACTAAGAAAGAAAAATAAGAAAGAAAAAATAAGAAAAAATAAGAAAAATAAGGGGAGATGTTAACAGCATGCTTAGGCCATCCAGAAGATTATTTTCTACACTTCAAAGGAAAATATCAGTACCTCACAAGAGTATAACCTTGACGGTGCCCATTTTACTTACAATGTTCGAACCTTAATCCATAACATGACGTGTTTAGAGGTAATATATACATATAGGGATATTAATCACAGATACACAGAAACTTATTTTTACGGCAACTAAGAAAGAAAAATAAGAAAGAAAAAATAAGAAAAAATAAGAAAAATAAGGGTGAGATGTTAAAATAATTTACAAAAGAACATTTCCTCTGCGGAAAAATATTTAATGATCATTAGATATTCATGTTAATCTGATAGCTAATCAAATTTTGCATTTTTTGTCAAATGTGTCACGGTGTCCTAAGCTAGGATGATGTACAGCAGTGTTGCTTTCAGAATCTTACAATTTACTTGACGCAGACTTGGTTGAGAGCTTCTTAACTGATTTTGCTTGGCGGTGGGTCAGCAAAAGAAAAATCTCAAAAAAGACCCCTCACTCTGGTAGTGTTTTTAGTTACATATGCTGGCCTTAGTCCATTTATACTACTAATGTTTTGAAACTGGCTATACAATGACATGGCGATAGAGCTACAATGAACACGTTTCGGTTCAACCGCGTCCACGTCCAGTGAGCACCGGCTTGAAGTGCGCAAGCAACGCCGCCAAACTAAGCCACCGTAGAGGGTATCTGGGGAGTTTCGAGCAACCGACCGCTGGATAAGGAGAAAACTTTCACGAGCTAATACGTGTGGTATAATATAATACGTCTAGTCAGTTTTTGTCACCAAACGACAGGCAGGTAAACCAAAGACAAGAACGAGCCATGCGGAGGCAGGCTACCTCGAAGTTCCACGGGAAAAGAAAGGAACAACTGAAGCCTTGCTGTTGACAGTATGATATGACAAGTGCTGAAACTAGATCTAAGGTAGACATGATAGAGCTGTCATGCTTCCTTCCAGTGGAGGTTCAATACACGCAGCTTGGTTTACGGAATTTAGCTACATTGTCCCACTGATTTATGGTCAGACAGCTTCAAGTTCCTGGCTGGATGGATAGATAGCTTAACTCCGATGTCTGAAGTGACCTGTTACTGTTACTTTCATCAATATGACTGTTGCGCAGAAACAGCTTTGAGACGTACGCGTGTGTTAAGTGA